TATCCATCAACTTAAAAACATGGAAATAGCCCAATCGCAATGGGATGAATTGAGAAATTATGGTACATTCATACAATGGAATACTATGCAGCATGCAGGAACAATGATTTTGTAAGTTACTACCTGACATGGGAGGGACTGGAGAGCATTATGCTGAGTGAACTAACAGCCTCATAAAGACAAATATGGTATAAAAACATTATTGTAGCACGAGTACAGTCTTCAGTAGGAGTTTTGATGGTAAACCCAGCCTGAAACTGAAAGCCAGCAGGACTGCACCTTTAATAAGTTATTTATATGTAAAAATAAATCAAGGTTGTTTAGTCAATCCAACCAGTTTTGTGGAAGGTAGATGCCCCTGACAAATGCCAGGGACAAGGTGACTGAGGCTACATAATCCATTGACTAGTATTAGTTAAACATCATATTAGAAGAGTGAAGTCTAAAGTTGGATGTAGCCAGGAAGAAAACTTCATGAGAAATGAGTCAGCTGGTAAATGGTATTGATTCAAAGCAGAATAGATCAGGATATATTGTGAAGTATGTAAAAATAGTATTGTATCTGTAGTGCTCTCTACTAAATTATTAGTAGTAGATACAGCCCAGAGGCAGGAAAGGTATCCATTAACTACAAGATCAATCTGTAGACCGCAGTAGCCCATAGATTTCTCATCCTTCCAAGTTAATACACTTGAAACATTTCCAGAGATTTCATACACAAGGCCACTTTCTACAGGACAGACTTGTTTGAGAGAGTGAAACAAGGATGCTCCTTGGTTGGAGGCAAGGATGGTGAGACCGTGTCTAACATAATTTGGGCAAGTTATCCAGAGAGTCCGGTCCTTGGAGAACATCATGCTTGGAAAGATGGAGGAGCAGCACAGGAGAGGAAGGCCTCAATGAGATAGACTTGTGCAGTGACGCAGCAGTGGGGTCAAGTGTGTCAGAGAGGGCGAGGCTGGCTCAGGATAGGGCAAGGATCAAAGCTGCTCTTCACAGCGTCACAGGGAGTCGCACCAGCACATACAAGCAAGCTCGGAAACCTTAAGGCAGATGGTTTTGCCAGACTTTCATTTGGTTTTACACACTCTCACTCATTACCGTGGAGTCAGAACTAATCCACAACTGATCTCCCAGTGAGTTTCTAAGGTTAATTGCACAGGAGGAGATTGTCCATCTTTCCCCCCTCAGAGCCGCTGGTTGATTCACACTATCAGAGTGTCAGTCTTTGGTTGAACAACTCCCTGTGGTACCAGAACTAGGGAACAAAACTTCTTGTGACTCACTATATTGTGACATCCATTTCATTGGGGCAGTCTTGAGGCAAGTTTCCACTGTCTCCAAGTTTTGCCTGTGTTTTTCTTGCTTTCCCTTTCAAGACTGCTGTGAATGACTATTTCATCGAAAAGTCATTCTAAAAACCTCAGATGTGAATGTTTGCACAGAAGAGCGACCCCAGTAAACTAGGTGCCATAGTCTGGCATAATAAAATCACATAAGCGTTATATTTAATTGAGTATGTCTTGCAATCTGTTGGTCAAAAATAAGTCACAAACCCCACCTATAGTCAATGAAGGGAGCAGGAAGTCTCTCCTTTGGAAGGGACGTCGCTTTCTGGTGTCCTAGGGGCCACATTAACTGTCTAGAACACTAGCAGATGTGAGTCAGATAATACTTAAGGTCCAACACACTTCATTCCTTCCTATATATTTGATTTTTCTGAAAACTTCAGTCTCAGGGAGATACTTTAAGTGAATTGTTGAGGGGCAGAACATAAGTAAGGCTACTAGTCTCCCTAGCTTGTCCACAGTGAAGAAGGAATGGAATGTGTTCCCACCTCAGGGGCACGCTGAGTACTTGCCTATTAGTGTTGCCCTGTGATGCATGCAATGGAATAGAGCAGCCTCTATCAAACTTCATAATCTTTTTCTATCTACCATTTGACAATTTAGTTTCTGTCTTGTATCAAAATTCCCATTTAGTCATGTGTATGTACCTATTTCAACTATATAATATTGTGAAAAACTGTCTCAGCTCCTCTTGGTAATTGGTGAACTGGTATGATCAACCCCAAATAGGGCCTTTCCCTGAACTCGGGTGGTGCCTCCCAGTTGCCTCATCCTGGATGAGTTTGCTGACAAGTCATGTAGAGTATTGGCCTGATAAATGCTCAAGAAATCCAATCTAAATAGTTTATTGAGACAGGTTTTACTAAGCAATTTTGCAATACCAGTCACCAAAGTCCAAACAAAAAAGTGGCTGGTACATCTGCCATGGCCTGCCAAGAGTTTTTATCTCTTAGCCTGCAAGCCCCTGATTCCTCATTAACTGTTACGGGGTGTACCTTCTTTCCCAAGTCTCCTAAATCTAATCTCCTGCTACATACCCCTTTCCCTCCCTTCTCCCCTTATTCCATTTGTGCACACACTCCAGCGCCTTGTGGTCTGACCTGTCAGCTAAGTTTGTTTCCTTTAGGTAAACTCATGTCTTCTTACACAGCCTTTGTTTTTGTTTACCTTGATGATCAACCAGTCTAAAGTTTCTTACATATATTGAAGTCTGAGCCTATTTAGTATTAATACCTCGCATATTACCCATCTAAACAGTCTGCTGCTTTACATGCCCTGCAAGTAGGATAACAGCAAAGGCAAAGATACTCTGGACAAATTGGTTCTTCAGTGGTGTGGAGGAAAAGGGATCTCTAGGTCAATGTGAAAGATTACTTACCTGCACTTGGCCAAATAAACATGCATATTTGGAAGGGAGGGCCTACAAATGTTCATATTACCCCATCTCTACCCTAAACAATGTGCTTGGCTCCTACTAGAGCTGCTATGCATACAGCCTGAGGCAGATGGTGTAATGGACAAACACATCCAACAGGTAAGAGCTGAGCCTTTATAAACCCTTGGCAGCGAGATCTTGAGCTTGCTACTTTAACCTCTGTGAGCTAATGATCTTAATGATCAAAATACCCTTTGTCATCAAACTGATTCTGCCTCATGGTGACCCACCACTGAATTAATTTCAGGTCCTATGTAAATGTTAATGGGGGCGACCTCCCATTTTCTCCTTAGAGCAGTGTTCCTCTCTCGTTGTGTGGTAACCTCGAACTGCCGACCTTTAGATACCCAGCCCAACCCCCAACCTGCCACACCAACGGGGCTCCTTCACAATCTCGGTCTTATTAGCATGTTGATTCCAACACACAGTGACTTGCTACGTTATAGAGAACTTGGAGGGATTTCTTGACTGTAGAAGCAAATTACCACAGCTTTCTTCCATGGGACCTGACTCTGCAGTGTCAAACCACCAACCTTTAGGAAAGTAGTTGAGCACAAGCTAGCTTATAGAGATAAGGCATTTAAAATGTGCAGCACAGCACCTGGGAGATATTAAACGGGCCAAAAATAGTTACAATGACCCTTTAGGCATCTGACGTGGGCAGGCTTCCCAATGTGCTGACAAGCATTTATTAATTTGTCCCCTAACAAGGGGTCAAGTTGATGCACAACCTAATACAGTTGTGCATTACACAACCTAATACAGCAGCTCTTTCCTCCTCGTGGAGCTTTTTTTGGGGGGGAGGGGTCAGTATGCTGGTTTTATGCTTGGTGAGGAAGTACGAATCCTCATTGCTGCTTTCCCATCCTTGGAGCTGGGTCACTGAGAAGTGCAGTGAAAGCTACAGACACTCCATTTGCAGGGAAGGGAGCCTACCCTGGGAGAAACGCTGGTTGTGTCAGGGCCGAACAGGTGATACTCCACCTCCTAACTTTCAGTTCTCATCTTCCAGGATGTGGTGGAAAATACATGAGACTTAGCTGGTTATTTGGAGTAGTTATTGCTGCTGTGGCAAGAAGCTGTGCCGCAATCCTGACGGCACGTGGTTTGAATCTACCAGCTGCTCTGCGGAAGGAAGAGCCATATCCTCCTGTGCCATTCTAACTGCCTCTGAAAACTTGCCGAAGGGTCAGCTGCGGGTCGGTTCCGACTCAACAAGTACCATCAAGTTGTCTATAACCTTATGAAAAACAGATCAAAACTTGGCCCTGTCCTGTGCCATCCTCACAACCTCCCACAGGTTCAAGTCCATTGTTGCAGGCACTGTGTCAATCTATTTCATGGAAGGTCTTTTTCTTTCACAGAACCTCTACTTTTCCAAGAACTGGTGTCTCCTGACAACATGCCCATCAACGTGAGGCAAAGTTGTACCATCATTTCCTCTATTCAGAAAACTCTATGAACAGCAGAGAACACTGCAGCAATGGTAAGATCAAAAGGGAGAAGAAAGTAGAAACACTTTATAAACTTTCATTATCTAAAGGGAACCCAAGCATTTAATCTTCTGACCAACAATTTGCTCCGAGGAGACAAGTTTTCATTTTTACCAATGTATTACTCTAATTGGCCAAATGAAAATGATAAGTATATCTTATAAAAGTTTTAATTTGAACAAGTTGATTAAAAATACATTTTATAAATAATTTTTCATAGACTTGATTGAGGATTATTGCCAACTTTACAAAAAGATATACTGTAACAACAATGGATTAAAGAAAGTACAAATAAAAAAAATACAAAAAATATAGCTATATAACTCTATTTTTTTCCTTAAAAAATACAATATTATACATCACAGAGCATTTTCTTTGTGCAAAATTTAAGAAAATGCTGTTAGTTATGTCACAAATATTTACCCAAAGGGAAGTAAACTTTAAGACTTATTTTACATAATAGTAAAGGCACCGTGGAAAGGATATTTTTCCACCCTAAAAGTTGTTATCTTAGGTCAACATTTTAGTTTTGTAGAACCGAAGGCTAAACTAAGTTTTATACAAACATGTCTTTGTGTGTAAATATGAAAACAAGTATCCGCTTGGACATTAAGTAAACCACCAACATATTTACAGTATTTTCAGTAAGTTGTTCTTTAAATCTGTCTGTGTATAACTTTTCTGCTAAACAGCTCTTTAAAAATAAAAGTCACTATCTGTCAATTAGTGGACGTCCTCAGTTGAGACTTCCAGTTTCCGCTGTGGGACAGAGGGCGTTCCTAATGAGGTCCGACTGACACCATCTAAATCCATGCAGGATAAGTCTGCTGGCTTGGTGGGTCCACCAGGGGTACGGAAGAAACTTTCAGCCACCAACTGTGAGCCTTTGGGTGTCACTGGAACAGGCTGGTTGAAAAGAGAAGAGGAAGAAGAAGTCAAACCCACATAGATAAGTAGATAAATAATAGACTTAGAAGGAAAACTAGACTGGATGGCCATCAACTCTGTTGGGAACCCAGCAGAGCTTGTAATATATAGACTGGTAAGTCTTGATGGCTTTTACATCCCAATTATAATTTTTAAGGTTAAACAAAACTCTCATGATAGCCCAATAATAATAGATTCCTGCGAATTCCTCCTGGATTTTCAAAGGCAGGTAAGTAGGCACACTTTCAAGTTCTTCACCCTCCCATTAGCATATGTAAGTCTTACATGATACTGATAGTGAAGCTTAATAGCTAAGTATATCAATTATTCATAGATAAACAAAATGATACTAGTCATAATTATAATTTATGTAACAAATATACATTATGTAAATTTTAAGTACAATGAGTGATAATGGCAGTAACTAAGGATATTAATAACAAACTAAATGAAGTGGAAATGCTCTTACTTGTGCCCCTGAAACAGCAACTGAGTGTCCATTTGGTTGGTTCTGGCCTGGGACTGGTGAGTCATATTTGGTGGCCCTTCCTTGCTGAGAGCCTGCATTTTCTGGTAAGATATGAACACCCTCTATTCTTGGAGACTCAGGGACAGCCCCAGGTCCAGGGCTGACAGCCACCTGCATACCAGGGGAGATGAGTCCCAGGTGTTGCAGGGTAAAGTTTACAATGGCCGAGCTCGGGTTCTGGACAGGAATAGGGTGGCCCGAAGCGAGAGCTGGGCTGCTCCCGACAGGTATGGCTGCCATGGAAGTTGGTGACACCATTAGCTTCAAAGGTGTGACATGAAAAGAGGGAAAATTAACAGCAGTGAGTTCAGATGATGTCACTGGAATAACACCTGGAAAGAAAAGAGGGGGAAAATGATGTTAAAAGCACAGACATTTGTCCAAAATGTTTATAAGGCTTAGGTGAACCTGAGAAAGACCCATGTTTGAAGAGTGTTTCACAAAAACTCACCTGCAATCGGGGAGCTGTAGAGGCTGTGGTTTGGGGAAAGTGTACCTGAGTTTTCTTTACTAGACAAAATGGACTCTGAGCCCAGGGATGAACACTGGGTGAGAGGGATTAGGTATCCCGATGAAAATAACGTCTAGAAAACAAGGAGAAAGCATTTATTTTACACATGTATACAGCATGGAAAACAACCATGTGCCTCTCCAGCGCTAACATCTCTTGGCATATCACCAGAGACATCAGCTAATGAACAATACCTTACTACCCATAGTAACCTGTATACTGAAAAATCGAGCATTTCTTTCTTACATGCTACCAGCTCCATCCTAGCTCCAGCACTAAGCCTGCTTAGGGGTAGAGTGACCCAGCACACACCCATACACTGACATCTTTGCTCCACTATCAGACCTCTCAGAATGGTGGAGTGCAGTCAGAAGCAAGTTTAATGCACCTGGAACTACTGGATTATTATTTGATCGTTCTTGAAATCGGCAGTATAGCGGTTCTCAACAGAAGCCCTGAAATGGTGAAGCACTGGACTGTGAATCGTAAGTCTGGTGGTCCAGACCTACCAATAACTCTGAAGTGGAAAGGTGAGACAGACAGTCGGCCTCCTCACGGACTGTGGCGTCGCAAAACTTACGGGGCAGTTCTACTCTATCTTGTAGGCTCACTACGAGTTGGAATAACTCAACAGCAGTGAGTTTAGTCTGGTTTTGGTATTTCTTAGAGTATCTTGAAAGAAAAAAGGGGAGGGGAAAACCCCATAGAAAAACAAACACAAAAACCCAAGGGGGGAAAAATATCTGAAGGCCTCTAATTCCAAGGAATATAGTCAAGCATCATGCAATTCATAGTTAAATATGTTGGGGAAATGCTGACTTAAATAAAGGCAAATAGTATCTTTATTAGAGAATTCTGAGAGACTTTAATAAGGACATGTGTGTATTGTAAATCTCCAAGCAGGCCACATAGAGCCCGTGTCAGTTCCCAAACTTCATTTTTTGAAAGCTGTTTAAAGACTAGTCTTCAAAGAAACCATTTTAAGAAATGTTGACTACAGCAGGCATTGGTAATCTAGGGACCATGGGCCAAATCTATTCCTCTGTTTTGTTTTACAAAAAATTCATTGGCATGCTGCCACACCCATTTATTTATGTATTGTCCAAAAGGACTTTTACTTTCTTGCTAAAATAACCAAATTGAAAAGTTACAACAGAGACCACATGGTCTACAAAGCCTAAAATATTTACTTTCTCAACACTTACAGAAAGTTTACCAGTTCTTGATTTCGAGTAAAGGAATTATATAAGTACATATATTTTCCAAGTATTTTAAGTTCTGGTATCAAGCAAAAAAACTTCTTGCCTCATGCTAGCTAAAGAGCGTCAGAGTTTTAAAAATAGCAACAAAACAGAAACTACAGATGAAAATGAGAACCAAGTATGTTAAAAACTCAGTTGTCTTTGGAACCTAAGTTTTAGGCAATAAAGTAAAATTATAAACAGCAATGATTCAAATGTTGTGTTACAGGTGTTCCTTACCCTCTGTCGGCTTGACAATTATACTATGTCAAATCAAAGACTACTTGGATGGCTATGCTGCTTGAAAAGCTTGCTTTAGCCTTACCAAGAGTGAGACTGTTGTTGTTATATGACATCAAGTCGCCTGCGAATCATAGTGAATCATAGTTCATTAGCTCTGAACCCTGCCCTGTCCTGAGCTTCCAACAGCCCTAATCTCATTTTTCCAGTTACTGAGTCAATCATCTCAGGTCTTCCTCTCCTGAACTGTCCCTCCACCCTTCTAGGCATGATATCCTTCTCCCAGGACTGGTCCCTCCAGGCTACATGCCAAAAGTATGTGAGATGAAGCTTCAAAATCCTTGCCTCAAGAAGCACCCTGGTTTCACCCTCTCTAGGAGAGACCTGTTCATTCTCCTGGCAGTTCATGGTATATTCAACACTCTTCTCCAGCACTATAACTCAAAAGGCATCAATCCTTCTTCTATCGTCCTTAGTTATTGTCCAGATCTCAGATGCATAGCAAGTAATAGTACTACTATGGCCTGAATTAGGGACATCTTAGTCTCCAGACTGACAACATTGCTCTTCAGTTACTCTAGAGAGGTCCTGTACAGCAGACTTTCCCAATGTAATTTGTCTTTTGATTTCCTGACTGCTGTTTCTAAGAATGTTGATTGTGGAACCAAGCAAGCTGAAGTTATCAATCTCAATCTCCTCCGTCCATCATGAAGCTGCCAATTGGTCCAGTGGTGAGAATCTTTGTTTTCTTGATATTGAGCTTCAGTCTATATTAAAGACTACAGTACTTGACCTTCTGCAGCAAACACCTCATGTCCTAGCTCTAGCTAAATGTAGTTCTAATAAATTAGGTGTCCTTTTATCTTCCTCTTCTATTGTCAAAACAACAGTCCACACTGTAAGCTAGCTTTTAAATAAGTTCCATCTTTTCCTTTGGGAACCAGTAAATTTAAGACCCACTGGTGCGTGTCAGCTTTGCATTTTGTTTCTGATATGCTTAGTACTGGTTCCTCGAAAGCTGTGTGAATAGAGAATTTTTAAGAGGTAGATTCCCTTTTATGAATATCAGTTCTTTGCAAATTTGAAGCCTCCTCTCTCTAAATATAAATCGTTCTCGCTGTTGCTTCAAGTCCTCTGTAAACTGTTAGAAGTCTATCTGCTGAATTTGTGTAAAATGGCATTCACCATAAAATCTTTTAACCTGCAATATTCTTATACAAACAAAACAAAACACAAAATCTCAACTCACTGCCATTGGGTGAGAAGTGACTCATAACTAACCTTTCAGCAGGGTTTTGGAAGCTCTTAATCACCCTGGAGACTGTCTATCTTTCCCCCATGAAGCAGCTGGTGGATTTGAACTGCTAGAACTGTGTCCTTTAGGTTAACAGAGCTAAGGTCCTATGGACTACGCCACCAAGAACTCCCTTTATTAAAAGTACAGCTACTACTTTTTATTTGAGAGTCCAGGGTTCAAGTCCTTGTTCAGTCACACACACAAAAAAAGTGTAGCTACTAAATTAATCCTATTTGAAGATATCCTCTCAATACCTATCACACTGCCCATTTTCTTTTCATTGTATTGATGCTGACATCAAATGGATTCTGACTCATGGTGATGTCACATGTGCAAAACAGAACTGCTGCACAGAATTTTCCAGAAGCAGACCACCGAGCTCTTCTCAGTCACCACTGGGTGGATGCGAACAATCAATGACCTCTAGCAGTTGAGTTTTTAACTATTCTTATCATTCACTGCTTCACTACTTGCTATGTTATCACTGTTGCAGTATGCCATCAAATTGGAAACAATTTATAACTGATCTTCCAGAAGGTTTTGCATAGGAGATTACTCATATCCTCTAGAGGAGCAGCTGATACATTCGAACCTCTTGCTTTTGGGCTGGCCATGCAGCTCATTATTTGTTTACTACCTTTTCTCTACCCTCAAATGAGTAGATTCTCCGTAAATATTTATTTAATGAATTAATACTTGAATCTTTCAATATCTTTGTACTGCTTCCTTTCCATGTTACAAAGAAATGGTCAAAATGAAGTCAGAAAGAGGGAAAATGAAGCCAAGGGTCATGGAAAAGATCCAGCCACTGAAAACTTGAATCTTGCATAACTAAATCAGCACCAGGAGACCATTGTTAAATCAAATTCATTGGCCCAAAGAGATTACAGACCTTCCAGAAAATTGAAAGCCTAGTTATTTTCCCCCTTAGCATGTACATTAAATGCAAAATAATACTACCCTAATAGAGGTTTTGAATAGTTACCATGAGGCTATCCTCAGGGAAGATTTGACAGTCTAAAGCCTCATTAATAACACAGATAATACCCTTCAGCTTATAACAGTGCCTTAACCGGATCAGAAGCCCCTTTATGTGTATCATCATGTACTAAATTCACTTAATCTCACAAAAATGGTAACATGGTCAGGGAGGATATCATTCAAAAGCAACCACCACCAAAAGTATCTAGGCTTGATTTGATTCCAAACACAGTAGGTGAGCATGGAAAACTGGTGGAATACATTTTCTAAAGATGCAGAAAAATAAAAAGATAACAAGAGGGACAAAATGAGAGAGTAACTTTCATTCCTCCACTTTCTGGAGTTTACATAAATAACTGTCCTAAGGGAGGAAAATAAGGTAATATATGTTTAAGTGCCTGGCACTTACGACCTACGGGGGCCTCATGCACGTTAGAGTAGAACTGTGTCCACTGGGTTTCCAATGGCTGATTTTTCTTTCAAGTTGCCTCTGGGTGAACTTGAACCACCAATCTTTCTGTTAGCAGTTAAATGCATTAACTATTTGACCCACCCAATAGATTTCCAATAATAGTAGGAATAAATACTACTTCCATCCTGAATTCACCTTCACCTAAGGGGGAAACGATCAAGAACATATAGTCTCCAGAGTCTATGCATCACATATATCAACAATTTCCCAAGGTCGGCTGGGAATTCTCTTTTTATACAAAAGGAAAAAGTTGTGTTCAAAGAAATATAGGACTAGGTATTATTTTCATGGCAAGATTACAGAAAAAGAAATGCATATTAAAGCGGACTAGGGGGGCGAATTATACAACAATTAAAGAGGTTTTTTTTTCTTCAAAGAGAAAAATGAACTGGGGGGAAGGAGGTGCAGGGAGGAAAATGTGCAACAATGAATGAATGGGGGAAAAATTAAATGGAAAGAATATGCTGTAAAAATAGATATGCTGCATTAAAAAATCATTAATTAAAAAAACAAAACAAAACCCATAAAACTCAACCAACCCAATCAAAAACCCCAATGAAAAACCAAGAAGGGCAATTTATTTTCTAGGCCATGAATGCCGGCTACATGACATCAAATAAAAATTAGGCAATGACTCAGAAAGCAGGAGTTACAGGAACCCTGTGTATTCCATCCACCCATTCATTCAGGGTTACGTTTGCTTGTAAATGATTTAAGACTCTCATGACAGGTGTTTGCATTCCAGTATGTGATGGAGAAATGGACTTAAGGGCAACCACAGGTGGTACTTTAAAAAGAGACAAATAATCCCTTCCTTCAAAGGTTAAAAATATCCTAGCTAGCTAGGGGATTAGCTGTGTGGGGCCTCCTTTGGATTACAGGATGCTAAGGAATAGTTCTATGGCTTTGGAGAGCTGCTCTTTTCTCTGCTCAATTTCACAAGCCACCAAGTTTTCCTCTAACCAGGGAATTGCTACAGCTTAGCAGAGTTCATGGTTGTACTTACTGTGGAGACGTTTTCAAGTCCTTTCAGGTCCTCTTTAAATTTCTTTTGGGAACCACTGTCCTCGACCATGTGTGCCCTCTTTGAGCCTCTTTCTCCAATAGACTCCTTGTCCCTGCCCTTTACGGCTTGTCTGTCTGGGGCTGGCAGCGAGCTCCCAGGTTTGGGGGAGGCACTTGGCTTTGCAGCATCACCGGGTACCTTCTCGGTAGTGATGTCCATGGAATCCTTTGATGCAGTAGCTTTACAAGAGGAGGTGGGGCACATCAAAGGGCTCAGGCCAGAGGGTGGTGTCACAGCTTGGGCTTGAGTGGGCTGCAGGTAGATGGCATAGGATGGGCCCGAAGGGACCTGAGGTAGAATCACGGGCACCGCTGATGATAGTGGGCTGGGGATCAAGGGGACCACCCCCAGGGGCTGGATGAGAGATGGGATTGTCAGCTCCAGTTCAGCATTTGCTGATGTGTCCAGAGGGGCCACTTGTTTGCAGTGCTCAGATCTCACCAGCTGCACTTTCATTTTCTTCTTGGGTTCACTGAAAGATAAGATTTTAAAAGATGACACAGAGGAAACATGTTTTCTCTGAAATGGTTTACCACTGTAAGTCTGAGATTTCAATTTCAAGTCATGCTTTTACAAAACCGAGCAGATACTTCACCAAAGAAGACATTCAGATTGCCAACAAACACATGAAGAAGTGTTTAAAATCCCTAGCTCTAGAGAGATTCAAATTAAGACAACTATGAGATATCATCTCACTCCAGTAAGACTAGCAAAATTTAACAGAACAGCAAGCAACAAATGCTGGCGAGGTTGTGGAGAAACTGGAACCCTTATTCA